CTGTCCTGGAATTAGCTCTGTAGACCAGGCTGGCCTCAAACAAAGATCTGCCTTCCTCTGCCTCCCGAGTGCTGGGATTAAAGGCATATGCCACTATTGCCGGGCTATCAACAGTATTTTTTGAGACTGTATTTTATTTTTAAAGTTACATATGTGCATGTATGTGTGTATATGTGTGGGCATGCATGTACCACACATGAATATAAAGAGTCAGAGGACAACGCAGCTGAAAGGAAGACAGGGAGAGGGCTTGGCTATGTGCGACTGAAGGCTTTCTTGATCTTATTTCCATTCTGATTTTTTTCCCTGAACCTATTTGAAGCTGTAACACAGCAGACCTGATCATTCAAAGCCACTGAACTTTGTACACAGTCTGTTATTTCCAATGAGGAGCATGTTGTTACAAAAGACTGGTTTGGTTCTTTCTTTTTAAAACCAGGTCAGGATTAATTTTAAGGTTAAAAAAAGATGTGGCAGATAAAAGAGCAGCTGGAAATCAGGGGCTCTTCTTGTGTTACTCTGAGTCCAACATCCTCGTTTATTAAACCCGACTATCTGCAGGCTGGTTTTGTCTGCGCTGTGCTGTCATCTCTAATGCTCTTGAAGAGGCCTTTCCCACAGTAGGATTCAATACCAGGCCCCAAAGAGATGGTCTCGGATTTCCCCAATCTGGGTAATTAGCTGAGGTCCAGTGATTCAGTTAAAGCATCTGAATGTCAATAATGCATGGATTCTTGGCAGATTGCCTAGCACCGTGTTCTACATAAGCACACCTGTGTAGGGTCTACATGTTCTTGAGGGACGTTTGCATTTTTTAACATGAAATATTAGGATTAGTGTTACATGGATTTTAATGCTATGACAAGTTCTTATACGTATGAAACAAAAGTTTGGGTGTGAGTGCCCTCCAAATTCTCCAGAACCTTTCCTTCTGTTTATTTGCCAGCACAGTCACCTGAACCTCAAAAATCAAGTTGAAATACTTCAGATTAAAACAAAACAAGTTGGGCACTGGTGGCCCATTTGCATGGGCCCAGCACTCCAGAGACACAGGTAGGAGGAATAGTGCAAGTTTGGGTTTTCTCTTAAGGTCTTTGATTCATTTTGAGTTCATTTAAATTTTTTTAAATTTACTTATTTCATATGCATGAGGGCTCAAATGTATGTATGTATGCCATGTGTATGCCAGAAGAGAGTGTCAGAAACCCTGAGATTGGAATAACAGGTGGTTCTAAGTCACCATGTGGGTGCTGGAAATTGAACCTGGGTCCTCTGGAACAGCAGCCAGTGCCCTTTAAACTGCTAAGCCATCTCTCCAGCCCCTTGAGTTAATTTTTTAAAATTACTTTAATTATGCATATTTTGTGTGTGTGTGTTGTATGTGGATTGTGTGCACTTGACTATGTAGCGAATGCCCTGGGAGGTTAGGTTAAAAAAGGGTGTTAGATCCCTTGTAAAAGTTGTAAGACACGGTGTGGGTGTTGGGTCTTCCTGAAAAGCAGCAGCAAGCATTCTTAATTGCAGAGCCAGCTCTCCAGCCCCTAGGTTTTATTGTGTGTGTGTGTGTGTGTGTGTGTGTGTGTGTGTGTGTGTGTGTGGTTTGGTTTGGTTTTGGTTTTTTTGGAGACATGGTTTCTCTGTGTCACAGCCCTGGCTGTCCTGGTTGGCCTTGAACTCAGTGATCTACCTGCCTCACCTCTTAAGTGACTCCTAGGAGTCTGATCCCTTGGAGCTGAAGTTACACATGGTTGTGAGCCTCCAAGTGGATGCTGAGAGTTGGTCCTCTGGAAATGCAGCCAGTGCTCTTAACCACTGAGCCATGTCTCCGGTCCCTGAATCTTAGGATCTTTTAATATTACTTTTATGATGAGGTCATGGGAATGTTGCTGAGGACTATGTTAGTTCTTGCATTTTTCCTGATGGCTTCCACCTGAGGTTTATGGGGATGGGGCTTTATGTCCTCCCCAAAAGAACCTCTGCTTTCCCCCTTTGGTGAGATCTTATCTTGCATTGAACTGTTTTTATTGTTTAGTTTTTTGAGATGTATGTGTATGAATGTTTTGCCTGCATGTGTATGTATGTACACCCTGTGAGTGCCCAGAGCCCACAGAAATCATAAGGCATTGGATCCTGAAATTCTGGTCTTTTGCAAGAGTAACAGTGCCAGACTGGAGAGATGGCTCAGAGGTTAAGAGCCCTAGCTGCTCTTCCACAGGTCCTGAGTTCAATTCCTGGCAACCACATGGTGGTTCACAACCATCCTTAATGAGATTTGGTGCCCTCTTCTGGCATGCAGGCAGAACACTGTATACATATTAAATAAATCTTAACAACAAAGAGTAACAACTGCCACCACTCCAGCGCTTTGTGATGGCCTGTTAAGCTGCTGTCACCCACAAGAGCAAGTCGTACTCCCACATAACAGGCCTGGGGTTTTCAAAGGCATTAGGCACCAGGAAGGGGGCAAGGACTGATGGCCTTAGTCTAAAACAGTGAGTGGTTCTCAACCCTCCTAATGCTGCCACCCTTTAATACGGTTCCTCATGTTGTGGTAACCCCCAACCATAAGATTATTTTTGTTGCTACTTCATAACTATAATCTTGCTACTGTTATGAATCGTACTATAAATAGCTGATATACAGGATATCTGATACGCAACCCCAGTGAAAGGGTCCCTTGACCCTCTCCTCCCGAAAGGGGTCTCAACCCACAGATTGAGAACCACTGGTCTAAAGCCATCCCCCAGTAGGCTGATTTTAGTCAGCATTTGTTTGTTTTTCCCTAAGACAGGGTTTCTCTGTGTTGCCCTGGCTGTCCTGGAACTTACTCTGTAGACCAAGGTAGCCTTGAATTCACAAACACCAGCCTCTGCCTCCCAGGTGTTGGGATAAAAGGCGTGGCCACCACTGCCTGGAGTCTAATCAGATTGTCATCTCAAAGGATCTTGGGAACTTGATGCTGTCAGCCTTGGCAAGTGAAGAGCTGACTCCTATCACCTGCTGGTTAGCATCCATGTGGGATAGATGCACTTAGCCTTACAGGGTCTCATTTCCCCTCAAAGTAAACTTTGAGATGTGATTTTTAAAAACTTGTTCTTTGCTTTCATTATAACATAAAAATCGAAAGCAAATAAATAAACCAACCAAATCCCTTTGCAATACAACAAGGGATTTAAAAAAATGATTGTAGTGGTGATGTACCATCACATCTTTGCCTCCAGCACTTAGGAGGCAAAGACAGGTGGATCGATCTCTGAGTTCTAGGCCAGCCTGGTCTCATAGTGAGTTCCAGGCCAACCAGTGATACATAAAGTTGAGACCCTGTCTTTAAAAACATTTTAAAAAAATACTTTCCAGTTTGTCATCTGTCTGTCTGTGTCTGTCTATTCATCTATCAATGGATTATAGAAAATATATCAGACACAAATGGCCTCATCTATATCATTCTACTTTGATATTTGTCTTTCAGCCCAACCACTTTTTCCACTTCTGAAGCACCCAGGAATACCAGGCCCTTTATGCCATATTGAAGGTTGAACCCAGGGTCTTTTGCATGCTAAACAAGCTCTTTACAAACTGAGTTTCTTCCCCATCTGTTTATGGTTATCTTTGGTGCACCAAACTCCATATACACTAGTCATTCACTGGTTGATAACCTTGTCTGTAAACTGTAGTAACAAGTGTAGTTTATCTATACTCGGGCTGCAAATGATGCTGTATTTTGTACCATGGCTTCCAAACTGTTAACAGAGGAACACTGCGGTGACTCTCTTGCCTACAGTGTCTCTTTAATCCAATGCTTTGATGAGCTCTGGGGTGAAAGGTCCCAAGCAGGCTTTTTTTTTTTTTTTTTTTTTTTTTTTTTTTTTTTCCAGAGACAGCGTTTCTCTGGAGCTTTTGGAGCCTGTCCTGGAATTTGCCCTGTAGACCAGGCTGGCTTCACACTCACAGAGATCTACCTGCTTCTGCCTCCTGAGTGCTGGGATTAAAGGCATGTGCCATTACCTGGCCTGTTCTTAAAGGTACTGCTTAATTCCCCTTCAGTGGGAGTTTTTCTGCAACTGTGAAGTCTGATTGCGTCTGAGTGGGATCTTCTGCATAGAAAGTTCATGTTGCATTGCAGAAACCCAAAGAGTACAATAGTAAATGAAACAGACCGTTGCTGTAGCTTGTCAGCCTTCCTGATGTCCGTCACAAAAGTCCCCAGGTTAGGCTTCACTTCACTTTCCTGCACACAGAAAGCTTGTCTTATGCACCTGCAGCATGTATCTTAGCAACAGCTGTGAGGTGATTGTCCTGGGAAAAATTTCAGGCTTTGTCTAGTGGGCTGTCTGGAGGGGCAGGGGCTGTGAATGAGGCCCCAGCACAAAGTCAGAAACTTACTGAAAATATGAGTTTTTGTTGTTATAACTCACTTGTGGGAGTCCTGAGCATGAGAAACTTGCAGATGAGAACTTTGTATTTTAGTGTCAGAAGACTGGACACACATTGTAGGAGGAGGACCTTAGAGGAGAGTAAAGCAATTTAGAATGTTCTCTCTAGCATGTTTCCTATAGAGGCATGTGGTTTTTTGTTTTTGTTTTTGTTTTTCGAGACAGGGTTTCTCTGTAGCTTTGGAGGCTGTCCTGGAACTAGCTCTTGTAGACCAGGCTTGTCTTGAACTCACAGAGATCTGCCTGCCTCTCCTTCCCAAGTGCTGGGATTAAAGGCAAGTGCCACTACTGCCCGGCAAGGCATGTGGATTTTAAAGAGGAAATTATTTCTAGTATGGTAGTTTTGTTTCTGTTGTTTTCATTATTTTACTTTAGAAAAGGTCTCATGTGGTCAACCCTTATCTCAAACTTACTATGTAGCCAAAGATGACCTTGAATTTATGATCCTTATGGCAAATTTATGAATTTGCCACCATTCCCGACACGTCGGATTATAGATGATACATTAGTTTATTCTTAGTGTATGTTGAGGTACCTCAAGATGAATCCAAGGCCTACCCTAAGAAGATGAACACGCTAGGCAAGTGCCCTACCACTGAGCTATAGCCACTTCTGTTTTTAAGACTAAGTCTCAGGAAGACCAAGCTGGCCTCAAACTCATTATGTAGCCAAAGGTGACCTTGAACTTCTGATTCTCAAGTGCTAGGATTACAGGCATGTACCACCAGGCTCTTTATGCCATATTGAAGGTTGAACCCAGGGTCTTTTGCATGCTAAACTAGCTCTTTACAAGTGAGTCTCATCCCCATTTGTTTATGGTTATCTTTGGTGCACCAGATTCCATACACACTAGTCATTCACTGGCTGATACCTTGTCTGTAAACTGTAGTAACAAGTGTAGTTTATCTATACCTGAGCTGCAAATGATGCTGTACTTTGTACCATGGCTTCCCAAATGATATGGAAATATGCTTTTAAAAATGTGAACTTCTGGATAGCATGTCTGACCTCCGGCAACAGCACATCATAGAGAGACCATGATGTAAACCTTTGTCTTCTACAGTTTCTACTGTCACATGTGCTATGTTAGCAGAGTCTGGGCAGGTTTGTCATCTAGTCAGTCTTTGAAACTGTTCTCCCTTTACTAATTCCCAGGGGTTCATAGCAGATTTATCATCTATGCTGTTTTTGACCTCCAATTCAGGTGACGTCTTCCCAGTGCAAATGAGTCCCATAGCCCAGTGTCAGTTTGTGCCCTTGGCTGAAGTTCTTTGCTGCACTATAGCTGATATGAATGCAGGTCAGGTGGCTGTGACACAAGAATCACTCTTGGAGCACTTGGTGAAACTTTACCCAGGTAACCAGTGTTCACCACTTGTATTCATTTGAATGTGTTTAGTTTCTGTATGTAAACACGCTTAGCGTGTAAGTAAAGGGTGTGGTGTCCTTCTTTCCTCCTTTTTCTATACAATCTTTTGTCATAACACTGAGTTACCCAGCTCAGTGGTACAGGCATGCAGTCTCAGCTAGTTGCTGGACTGAGGCAGGATTGAAAGTTCAGAGCCATCCTAGGCAGCTTAATAAGACCCTATCTCAAAATAAAAAGTAAAAAGAGGCCCGGGGATATAGCTCACTGATGGTATGTTTGCCTAGCATGCACAAAGCCCTGGTCTCCATTACCAGTATAGAAAAAAAATACTGTCAAGAAAAGCCCGACATCAACATTGCGCGCGCGCGCGCGTGTGTGTGTGTGTGTGTGTGTGTGTGTGTGTGTGTGTTGTGTGTGTGTGTGTTGTGTGTGTGTGTGTCTGTGTGTGTTGTGTATGTGTATGTGTGTGTGTGTGGTGTGTGTGTGTATGTGTGTGTGTGTCTGTGTGTGTTGTGTATGTGTATGTGTGTGTGTGTGGAGTGTGTGTGAATCTGTGTGTGTGTGTGTGTGTGTGGTGTGTGTGTATGTGTGTGTGTATATGTGTGTAAGTGTGTTGTGTGCGTGTGTGTATGTGTGTGTTGTGTGTGTGTGTGTGTGTGTTGTGTGTGTGTGTGTATGTGTGTGTTGTGTGTGTGTGTGTGTGTGTTGTGTGTGTGTGTACACACACACGCAGGTTGTCCACATTCAGGCATGGATGTTTCACAGCCCATATTTGGAGGCCACAGAACAACTCTTGGGAATTGTTCTCTGTCCTGCCATTTTGTAGGATCAAGGATCAAACTCAGGTTGCCAGGCCTGCATATAAGCACCATTGTTCATCCAGCTGTCTGACCAGCTAACATTCCATTTGCATGTATGTAATCATACAATCAGGTTCAAGTCTGCTAAGCAAATAAATGGCCATCCTGAATTTCTGATTTCAGTGTTTTTTTTTGTTTTTGTTTGTTTTTTAAGGTATTGCGGTTCCATCCCCAGACATTCTCTACAGCACACTGGGGGCTCTAATTCAGGAGAGGAAGATCTACCACACTGGAGAGGGCTACTTCATAGTTACACCAAACACTTACTTCATCACAAATACACCCATACAGGGAAATACAAGTGCCCTCCGACCAGAAGAAGGGTGCTCTGCACCCACTTCTGTGACCTATCTGGTGAGCGTGGACTGCTGTGCAGAACTGGTCCAGGAAAATTGGGTCCCTGTCTCCCACTGCCCATCATGTCAGTGTTTCCTTGATACAAGCATGCAGGACACTAAGGACCCACTGGCTGATGCAGAGGAGACTAGAAAAAACCAGGAAGGTCTTGAACCCATGCCTTTGACTAGGAACCACATTGTTTCAGCACCTGAAGACACCCACATCTGTGTGAGCCCCAAACCATTACCATACACCAAAGACAAAGGCAAAAAGTTTGGTTTCGGTTTCTTATGGCGCAGCTTATCTAGAAAAGAGAAGCTGAAAACAGAGTATCACAGTTTTTCTGCTCAGTTCCCGCCCGAAGAGTGGCCCGTCCGAGATGAAGATGGCTCCAACAACATCCCCCGAGATGTGGAACATGCAATAATCAAAAGAATTAACCCTGTGCTGACTGTTGACAACTTAATCAAACACACAGTCCTAATGCAAAAATACGAAGAACAGAAAAAATATAATAGCCAGGGTACTTCCACTGATGTACTGACAACCAGGCAGAAGTGTTCTTCTAAAGAGGGAATTCGGAAAAGGCAGGGCCGGTGTCCCAAGCCTCACAGGCGGGGCTGTTCTCATAGGGATAGACACAAAGCATGGAGCCAGGGGAATGAGCTTGAGCCGGGAAGCATTGGACTGGAAAAGCACCCCAAGATCCCTGCAGCCCAGCCTGCTCCCAAAATGAGCAGCCCCAGTGAAGAAATTCAGCAGTTGCATGGTGGGAATCCAGCTGTACTAGGTTCCCAATTGATTTATAAAAAACAGATCAGCAATCCTTTCCAGGGCATGCATTTCCGAGGACACCCAGTATCCAAAGGGCCCAATGTACAGAAGAGCCAGGATCTGAAACCTAGTCCGGATGGGTCAGAGGAAAAGTCTTTCCAGAGGGCGGGGTCTTCAGGTCCTTCTAGCGCCTTTGATGGTGGAGCCCAAGAGCCATATGTGGAACAGTGCCCTGATAAACAGGAAGCAGAAACCATGCATGCGATGAAGGCTCCTGTCCATCCTGTCTGTGACGTCAGAGGTGGCCTAGGAAATTACCCTCCACATAGTGTTTTGCTAAGCCACCCTCGGTGCTGTTCCTTCAGGGAAGGCATGTTGAGAAGTGGAGTGTATAATGAAGAAAGCAAGGTCATCCCTGAAGTCTTGAGGAAAAGTCATTCTGACTGTGACATGTTCTTGGGGCCCAAAGAAATGCATCGGGTCCTGCCGTCACAAACTTCCCCCTCTTTGGAACCAGTATCCTGTGTGTGTACATCAGTGGATAAGACGATATACCAGTTCCAAAGCCTGAGCCTCTTAGATTGCCCAGCTGGGGCAAACCATTTGAGGACACAGGAAAGACAAGATGGTGACTCAGAAGAACTAACTTGGAAGGTGTTTGTCCCAGAGGCAGAGATTGTGACTATGGAAAATGAGGGGCTCTCCGGCAATGAGCAGGATAAGGCAGCCTTGAACCAGAGTGACGTTGGGGTGGATGATGGGGCCTGCAGTTCACTGTATCTGGAGGATGATGACTTCTCTGAGACAGATGATGACTCCTTTCACACACTACCTGGACACACTGAGTGTTCCTTTGCAGGCAGAGACGGTCAGAATCGTTTGGGAAGACCAATGGTGACTGGAAGATCTCTGACTGAATGCAATAGCAAAACTAATAGGTTTGAGCCTCTGACACTTAAAAGGAATCACTGGTACAAGGCCACTGGGTTGTTTGCAAATTCAGGGGAAGGCGCAAACCCTGATCTCACTGACAGCCCTGGCCTAAATTCAGGGACTCCACTTGGTTTCAGTTACGAAGGAGAGCCCACTGCTGCCTGTGTCCAGGCCCCAGCAGCCACTGGTGGTAGTTTACTTAAATGCTCTACTGTAAGGAAAACCAGTTGCGGGGCTGAGATCCTGCGTGATTCTCTTGGTGACACAGGAAAGAATCCAACTGGCTGGAGACAGAGCCCTCCAAATCAGGAAATGGAAAAGCATCTCACAGACAAATTGCAACTCTTCAACACCTCACATGTGCAAGTGTTGGCTCAGGAGCCACATCCAGAGCACAGTGGCCTTGAAGGGACAGAGAGTTATAGCATGACAGGAGACAGTGGGATTGATTCCCCGAGGTAACGATGTATGAGGGTGTTGCATTAGTTACTCCTGCATGCATTACTAGAGTCAGGGTGTGTGGAGCTGCCTAGTGAGAGACTCCTGAATAAACCAGTGTAACAATGTCAACAGTCTTGGGAGAATAAATTATATCAAGTTACAATGAACTTGCCTATGGTAGGACAGAGTTCAGTTTTTTTTTTTTTTTTTTTGAGACAGGGTTTCTCTGTGTTAACAGCCCTAACTGTCCTAGAACTAACTTTGTAGACCAGGCTGGACTCGAACTCGGAGATCTGCCTGCCTCTGTGTCTTGAGTGCTAGGATTAAGTAAGCCTATGCCACTGTCGCCTGGCCAGAGCTCACTTTTAAAAACTAGTATCTTTAGAATTTCAGACTCTTATTTTTTTAGGATTTATTTTATTTTTATGTGTAGCAGTGTTTTGCCTGTGTGTAAATTTGTGCATGTATCAAGTAAATGCCTGGTGCTCACTGGGATCAGAAGAAGCATCTGATTCCCTCGAACTGGAGTTATGAATGGTTATGAGTCACCATGTAGGTGCTGGGAACTGAACTCAGGTCCTCTGCAACAGCAGCCCATGCTCTTAACTGCTGAGCCTTCTCTCCAGCCTCATAGCAACATTTATCATTTTCACTCCCTTCCACCAGTTCTACCCATATGTCCATATGTACCCTCTCCTTCCTACCCACCCAAACTTCTTCCCCATCAAGTTAGTTTGTGTTGTCCAACTCCTCTTGGGAGTGGGGCTTGACCTAGAGAATGGTTGACCTATAGGGGTCACATAGTTAAAGAAAACTGACTCAGTGTAGTTAGTGGGGAAGTTGGTTTTTTTTGTTTTTGTTTTTGTTTTTTTGTTTTTTTTTGAGACAGGGTTTCTCTGTGTAGCTTTGGAGCCTATCCTATCCTGGCACTCTCTCTGTAGACCAGGCTGGCCCCAAACTCAGAGATCTGACTGCCTCTGCCTCCCCAGTGCTGGGATTAAAGGTGTGTGCCACCACCGCCCAGCTGGGACCAAATCTTACTAGGAAATATTTCTAAAACTAGAAAGGAACTGCTAAAAACAAAGTACTTTCAGAACTTAGAGTTGGAGGTCTTCTCATATATTCCTGGATCTATATCTGTTAAGTAAAGGATGTGGCCACTTCTCACTCAACTTGTTTAAATGACAATTGCTCATATGGATTTAGTAAGATATTTTAGAAGTGTTTGGGGTTGTAGCCCAGCTGGTAGAGTGCTTGCATGGCATGGGCAAAGCTCTGGGTTTGATCCCAACATTGCATAGATGGCATTGACTCTCATCCCAGCATCTGAGAGGTGGAAACAGGAGTTCAAGATCATTCTTGGTTACATAGCATGTTCAAAGCCAGCCTAGGTTCAACCCCCACCCACACAAAACTAAGTATTAAAAAGTTTAAAATAACATTGTGTGTGTGCGCAATACAACAGACTGTGGAGGTTAGAGGCCAACTTGAAGGGGTGGGTTCTCTCTCCTTCCAGTGTGTAAGTCCTGGGGATAGAACTCAGGTTATTGCTATTGGCAGTAGGTGTCTACCCACTGAGCAATCTTACCATTCTTCCCAAAGTATTTTTAAAACTTTGTAATGATCCTACTATTTTCTTTTTTTTCTTTGCTTTTTCAAGACAGGGTTTCTCTGTGTAGCCCTGGAGGTCTTGGAACTTGCTCTTTAGACCAGGCTGGACTTGAACTCAGAGATCTGCCTGCCTCTGCCTCCTGAGTACTGGAATTAAAGGTATGTGCCACCACACTCAGTACAAATAAAAGTAATCCTAACAATAACAATGGGGGTGGAGAAATGGTACAGTTAATCATGTATGGGTACTTTGCTTGTATGTCTGTGCACCATGTGTGTGCCTGGTGCTCACGGAGGCCAGAAGATGTAACATGAGTTCTAATTGGTCTTAATAATAAAAGCCTGGAGTCAGATATAGGGGAAAATGCTGAGAGATCAGAGACAAGAAGAAGGAAACCAAAACTACCTTTACCTCACTAGCTTCCCAGTGGAAAAGAGAGCGAGTTCCTCTTTTCCTCCCACCTATATTCCTTTTTCTGCCCAGCCATCTCACTTCCTGTCTGTCTGTACAGATCTCCAGACCGCTATGGTTAGCTAGTGGCAAGCTCTACCCTCTAATCTTCAGACACGCTTAATTTGTACAAACAAGTTATCACCACAAGAAGAGAGCATCAGATTCCCTTCAGTTACAGATGGTTGTGAGCTGTCATGTGGGTGCTGGGACCAAACCCAGGTCCTCTGCAAGAGGAGCCAGTAGTTTTGTTTGTTTGTTTTTGTTTTATATTGTTTTTGAGACAGGGTTTCTCTGTGTATCTTTGACTGTCCTGGAACTCACTCTGTAGACCAGGCTGGCCTCAAACTAGGGAGACCTGCCTGCCTCTGCCTCCTGAGTGCTGGGACTAAAGGCGTGCGCTGCTACCATCCAGCTGGAGCCAGTGCTTTGTTAAGTTAAACATCTGTCCCATCAGTTCTCAGCATGTGGGCAGAGACCTCTTTGGGAGTCAACTGACCCTTTCACAGGGTTCACCTAAGACCATCAGAAAACACAGATATTTACATTATGATTTCTAACAGGAGCAAGATTACAGTTATGAAGTAGCAATGAAAATAATTTTATGGCTGGGAGTCACCACAACATAAGGAACTGTATTGAAGGGTCACAGCATTAGAAAGTTTGAGAACCACTACTCTAGCCAATCCCTAAAGAAGTTATTACAAAAATTATTTTGCATGATGTATTTGTATGTGTTTTCATCTGTGTATATACACCATGTTCATATGGAATTAAGAGTACTACTTTGGGGAGTCAAGTTTTCTCCTTCCATCTTGAGGGAAGAGTCTTGTTTTTGCCCCTGCACTGTTTTCACAAGCTTCTTACCACTTTTGCCCCCACTTCTCATCTCACCCTAGGACTATTGGCATTATAGCTGAGAGCTATGGGCTTTTTGAGGGGGTGCAGGGGAGGGTTTGAGACAGGGTTTCTCTGTGTAACAGCCCTGGCTGTTCTGGAACTGACTCTGTAGACCAGGCTGGCCTCAAACTCACAAAGATCTGCCTGCATCTGCCTCCCAAGTGCTGGGATTAAAGGCCTGTGCCACCACTGCCCACTGAGAGCCTTGGGCTTTTTTATGTGGGTTTTGGATATCAGACTCGGATCATTAGACCTGCATGGCACACTTTTAAATGCTTAGCTGTTGGGGCTGGAGAGATGACTCAGTGATTAAGAGCACTGGCTGTTCTTCCAGAGGTCTGAAGTTCAATTCCCAGAAAGCACATGGTGACTCACAGAGCATCTGTAATGAGATCTGGTCCCCTTTTGGCCTTTAGGAATACATGCAGACAGAAAACTGTATACATGATAAATAAATACGTCTTTAAAAAGGCTTAGCTGCCTTGCTTGTCCAACTTCTTGTTTTATATATTTTTAATTTTGTGCCTTGTTGTGTATGTGTTTGTGTGGGTATACACACATGAGTGCAGTACCCTTAGATACCTCAGATCCACTGGAGCTGAAGTTACTGGTGTTTGTGAGCAGCCTGACATGGGTGCTGAGAATTGAATTCAGGCCCTCTGCCAAGAGCAGAGATCCATTTCTCCATTCCCAAGTTTATTGTTTAAAATAGATTATAATATGGGTTTCTTGAGAGGCTTATGCTTATTACAGATACTGTGGCTCTTAGGATCAAGACCAAAAGGACAAGACATAGTTGGTACCTTATTTGAAAATTAACACTGACAAGCTGAACTGAAGAACACACACACACACACACACAGAGGAGAGAGAGAGAGAGAGAGAGAGAGAGAGAGAGAGAGAGAGAGAGAGAGAGAGAGAGAGATTCTTCACAACTGCCAAAGATATGTGGGATTCAGGGTGATGGGCAAGCTATGGAAACACTCTAGGGTAGAGCACTTGCCTAGCATGCACGAAGCCCTGAGTTCAACCCTGAGTCACCACAAAACAAAACAACCACAGAATTCCTGGGGCAGCTTCGGGTGCATCTTGGCAATAGGATAGGGTACATACTTAACAAATGTGCTGAAGCAAGACAAATGTGGCTAGATAAGGACATGGGTTATAGTTCTCAGGACAAGAACAGTATCAATATGAAAAGCAAGAGTTGACTTCATAAAAGAGTTCATACAAGATAGGTCCAATAGGGAGCTAGATGTTTCTGGCTAGCAAGTACTAGGTATGGTACTTGACTAGGTTTAAGAACCAATGTTCAGATAACACAAACTTCTTTGAAAGTACCTGTCAAATAATTGGGGTGCTATTGTTTAGCTTTTCACATGTGAAAAACAGGCTACCTTAGATTTGATATGTTACCTTAGATTTGTTAAGCATGTCCTAGTACTCATATAGCTTCACACTAACAAAATGAAATTACAGTGCCCCGAGTGGCATTCTGGGTCCCTTTGGAAGATAGTAATCCTGTCCTTTTTAATATCTTTAGGACACAGAGTCTGACATCTAACAATTCTGTCATTTTGGATGGATTTAAAAGAAGACAGAATTTTCTACAGAACTGTGAAGGCATGAAGAAGAGCCAAACGCTCCCATCCAATTCCCTGCTTCAATTAACCCCAGTTATAAATGTCTAACTTAAAGATGTGGTCTTATACTGTAGTTCAGGCTGGCCTGGATCTCAACAGGTAATCAATCCCCCTGCTTTAGCCTCTGGAGTGCTGGGATTACAGGCATAAGCCACCATGTCAGGATTAAAATTCTAGCTGACTTTGGAGAACTCTCTTTAAAATTGGGTATGTTCTAAAGCTGAACACGTATGTTATTATTAACCCCACCAAATGGCAACCTAATTATTTCTTCCTTTTTACCACTTTAACGTATTTTTCAGTGCCTTTTACTAGAAATCTGTTATAGTTTTCAATAAAAAAAAACATGAAATCATTGATCCTTTTCTAACTAAGCATTACTAACTTTAATTTTCCTTGATGTGTTTCTCCAATACGTATAATGCTGACTTACTACCCAGTAGCCATTCTCATCAGCCACAGGAATATGAAATTCTCAGGTTAAAGGGACATTGTGGCTGAGAAATAACTCATCCCTGATGGCCATGTAGTCAAACGTATCCCTCTTATTGTACAAGTGGCAGACCTTGCACTCGTTAGGTCCTTCCTGCACAGTGCTGAACTCCCACCGTATCCATTTTTTCAGCCAATAATGTCACATCCATTTCAAAAAGGAAAACAAAATCAAACAAGACAAGAAATTCCTCCAAATGAAAAGTGGGCAGATGTCTCAATTTTTGTCTATAGTAGTAAGGCATTCTGTTTAATTTGTGAAGAACTTGCCATGTTTTCAAAGATTTAAAAGGCATCCTACAAAAAAAAAGGTGCTGCCGAATTGGGTGCGTATCAAGGATTAGGTTGAAGGAAAAACATGGTGGAAATGAATGAAAACAGGGCTTATTCTCCGACAAACATTTTTTTGAAAGTTAAACTCATTCTGTGGTAAAAGTTGGTTATATAGTAGCATATTTATTAGCAACAAAATATTTACTGATGGTGAGTTTGTTAATCCATGTATACAGATTATATGGTCGTGGGGGGTATATTTCTAAAACCATCTTGTCTACTGGACAACAGCCAAGTGAATTGAAGAGAGAAATGGAAAACGGAAGAGGGAGGTGAGGATGAAGCTCAGATGGTAGAGTGTTTGCCCAACCAGCAGGAGGTGGGTGTGGCAACTCATGCCTGTGGTCTTAGCACTTGAGAAGTTGGAACAGGAGGCCTAGAAGTTCAAGGTCATCCTTTGCTATGTTTGCCAAGGTTGAGGCCGTCCTGGGTTAAAGGTTCTACCTCAAAAGGAAGGAGGGAGGGAAAAAATATAGACCTGTCAAGGTTTCTCCTAAGCTTTGGCTGTGGACATTCACAATGGTGCAGCAATTACACCTCAACTTTTTTTTTTTTTTTTTGTGGTACTGATGACAAATGTCACTGCTGAAATAAATATCTTACTTTATTGCCATTAACACACACTAAGTAGTTTCCTTTTCCATTGTCAACATATCTGGATGGTGCCCAGTGATGCTAGATGAAAAGAGAAGGACTTGGAAAATAGATTATGTAATTATCACCCCAAACTCACCCTTAATCAGGTATCATTGCATAGTACATCAAGGAAATTAAAAAATTGTTAAATGCATCAAGATTGAATTTAATAAGGGCCAAAGGAGTAAATCACCCCCAATTCCTGAAATTTCTTTAGTGTTGATGTTTACTTCATCAACATCATTTGCTTTTGGAAAGTAAGATGGCTAAGTTGAAGCCAGATGTTGAAAAGGCTTTGTGATTTTTCACATTAAGTGTTTTATAGTATCAAAAACAATGGGCCAGTGACATGGTTCAACTGGTAAAGTCTCTTGCTGCCAAGCCTGACCACTTGAGTTCAATTGCTGGGACCCACAGGGTGGAAGGGGAGAACTGACTACCAAATATTGTCCTCTGACCTCACACACCCCAGTAAATGCAATGTTAAAAGCTTCATTTGTATTATATTATTCTCTTTCACTTTCATAGTAAAACACATTGTTGGGGAATATTTTAAGGTGTGTGACATTTGTTTATGCTCTGGAACATTTGTTTAATGATGTACAGATGTGTTGCTTGTGTTTATGTTGCATTTGTTTAACTCTGTGAAGCTGTGATTCTTTGCTCGTCTAAGACACCTGATGGTCTAATACAGAGCTGAATGGTCAATAGCGAGGCAGCAGAAAGGATAGGTGGGGCTGGCAGGCAGAGTTTAAAGAGGACGACGACTCTGGAAGAGGAGGAGGATGTTAGGGGTCAGCCACACAGACACCCAGAGACCCAGCCAGCCATGGAGTAAGAGTGAAAGTAAGATACACAGAGGTAAGAAAAGGAAAAAGCCCAGAGGCAAAAGATCGATGGGCTAATTAAGTTAAAAGCTGGCTAGAAACAAGCCAAGTTAAGGCCCAGTGTTTATAATAACAGGTCTCTGTGTGATTTGTTTGAGAGCTGGGTGGCAGGCCCTCAAAAGAGTTAAACAAAAAAACCCACCGCCTGTAACAACACATTTTTAAAAATCAACAAAGGTAGAGCAAAAGCTCTGTGGGTCAAGGCTCCCAAGCCTGACTACCTGAGTTCAGTCCTCAGGACTCAAGGTAGAAGGAAACAACTGGCTCTTGAAACCTGTCCTCTGACCTCTATGCATAATGCTAACCACAATAAATGTAATTTTTTTAAAAAATCAGAGTTTTATGATTTATGTGTTATTGTCTTTATTAGTGATCAAAAACTTATGACCTTTTTTAAGACTCTCTGAATGGGTCACTGGGCATCCCAGAGTTGTCCTGCCATGTCCAGGTGCACACTTCCATCACATAAGCACTCGCGTGCGTACACACACACACACACACACACACACACACACACACACACACTTAAAAGTTTTTTAGATTGATGTGTATGAGTGTTTTGCACACAATTATGTGCTTATCATGCACATGTCTGGTGTCCTTACAGGTCACAAGAGGGTGGGTGTCAGATCCTTTGGGACTGGAGTCCCAGAGAGCTGAGAGTCCACCTGTGAGTGCTGGGAATTGATTCCTGGTCTTCTGCAAGAACATGTAAACTTTTTGAGACAGGGTTTCTCCCTGTAACAGCCTTGGCTGTCCTGAAACTCACTCTGTAAACCAGGCTGGCTTTTGAACTCAGAGATCTGCTTGCCTCTGCCTCCAAAGTGCTGGGATTAAAGTTTCATGCAACCACCATCACCACCACCACCCCACCACCCATCACCCATCACCCCTACCTCCACCAGCAAGAACGAGTTTAACAGCTAGCTAAGCTATTTCTCCAATCCTCCCCCAATCCCAGTCCCCACCTCCCACCCCTGCCATACCTCTGGTTTTTTGTTTTTTGTTTTTTAATCAAGTTTATTGATAGTAGTTGAAACTACACCAGCTCAGTAATACATGCCCATGCTGGTGTGCTGTTAAACTATGTGTGTATGTTCTTAGATCATGAGCCTATTGCTGAATGTAATTTAGCAAACACGATATTGGAAAACGTTGCTCTGGCACGGAAAACAATGGGAAGAGCCTGCTGCTGCATTTTGAGAACCTATCTGAAGCTAAAGCTACTTGAGAAAACGGCACAGGAAAGAGGCTGTTGCCTACCAGTGGGGAGGGAACTATTAAACAAGAATGGGGGGACACCCTGGACAGACATCAGCTTCTCACAGCCTCTTTCCTGCAACCAACCCAGTTCTTGGTTGATAGTGCCCTCTTCTGGGATAACTCATGTTGATTCTGACGCCCTCCTTTCTACAGCCCAATTCAAAACCCTGGCAAAGCAGGGCTGGAGAGAAAGCTCCATGATTTAAAAACCTGTACAGCTGGTGCAGATGACTGTAATGTGGTTTCCAGGGGATCCGATGGCCTGCCCAGGCATTCACATACAGATATCCATACACATAGAGACACACAATTAAAAAAAAATACATTCCTGTTTTTAAACTCACAAAACTATTACTAAAGAAATGGTGGAGCCAGGCATGGTGGCACACATCTTTAATTCCAGCAGAGAAGGCAGGAGACAGGCAGATAGAAGGTTTAAGGCAAACTTCAGCTACATAGTGAGTTCAAGGCCAGCCTGGGCAAATTGAGACCCGCAGCAGCAGCTGCTGCTTCTGCCGCCACCATCTCGCCACCATCTCAGTTAAGTCTGAGCACCTCTGCCCCTCATTTCTACAGTGATGCTTTGTTGCATTTTCTAATCGAGTTTCCTGTGTTATTGTCCTTGCTTGGCTAACAGCAGTTTTTAAAGGTAAATTGACTAAGGTTGTATAGCTCCTTGCCTCTCATTCTCTTTTCTCCTTCGCACGCCCAGTCTCTGTCCCCACTGCCTCCCTCCATCAATTTATAACTGCCCCATGATTTCCATATTGTAACCTGAAACGTTTGGTCAGAAAAGTTTCACATTTACCTCCAAAGAGCCAGATGTAGTCTGAAAAGCTCTTTGCCGTCTCCTTCCTAATTATGGGCTAAAAAATTAACCATTTTGGAAATGACCAGAGAGGCAAGTTTAGAAATAGTACCTTGTTTTTATATCTTAAAAGTTACACAGTTGAATAAGCCAAGACCAAAGGCAAGGGGATTTTTATAGAATCTTCTATAAGAAAATAGCCAGAAAAGAGCACAGAACTTATATTTCCAGGGTGTATTTTCAACTCTTCTAGGATATTTGGAAAATAGGGTCAGCAAGATGGTTCCATTGGTAAAGGCGGCTACCACTGAGCCTGGCAATCTGAGTTTGATCTGCAGGACACACATTGTGGAAAGAGAACTTCTACACACAAAAGAAAATGGAAGAAAAAACAAACAAAAAAAACCCCAACCCTATAACCTGGCATTGTAACACATGCCTTTCTTTAATCCTAGCACTGAGGAGTCAGAAGCAGGCAGATCTTTGTGAGTTCAAAGCCAGCTTGGTCCACAGAGCAGGTTCCAGATCCTCTAGGACTACTTGATAAAACACTTACCTAAAACAAATAAAAAATACATAGACTATAAAGATGTTCTGACAGTTGTATTTGGAACTAGGAACCATGGTCC